GATGGGCAAAGTGTTTAAAATAGGCGTGTTTGCCCTAAAAAAAGAGGGCTCCGTAACTCTCGGCAGGGAGTTTGCCGCCCTGCGGGTGCGGAGCGCTCTTGCGCTGAGATCCCGGCGCAGGCAAACGTGCGGGAAACTTCGCTTTTGTGCGCGCCTGCCTTAATTCCTCGTCAAGAGAAACCCACCGAAACGTCAATGACAAAATCTTGCAATGCGCCGGGCACACCGTTTTCCGTTTGGGTGCGTTTCAGTTTGCGCACAGATCTTTGTGCCCGTTCTAACTGCTTTGTCCGGTGAACTTTGTCCGTGTCCGTCTTGGCTTTGCCTGTGGTTCAGGTTCGGTGTGTGCGGGCGGAATTAGGTCTGGGAGAAATGCGGTGGCTCCCCTGAGGTGGCCGTGGGATGCGAGAGTACGGTCACGCCGAATAGACTTGCAATACAAGATTTTTAAATGTAAATAACTTGTCTGTTGAGTATTGATAAATCTAAAAGTTTAAGCATTTCAGAAATGTCCTAAGACGGTTGGATTATTTAATTATTTTTTTTAAAAAGACGTTTGGAAGATGCATTATCATCAGAACTACTCGATAATATTACTGTTGTTTAGTGTTTTGATTCACGTGTCAAAAAATAATAAGAGCACACGGATTTATTTTGCTCTGATTTTTTTCATTTTCGCTAAACCTGTTCATAAGAACCAGAGTAAGGGATATAATCACGGAAGTGTGTAGGTTTTATGTCTTCTGTGCATCAGTGTAGGTGTTGGGTGATGATACCTGAACTGAGTATAGAAGAGCAACAGCCGAGGTTAGAAGTTGCCGTATTCAGACTGTTGCAATGTGCCAGGTCGATCAGTTGAGCGTCTTGTATGTGTCAGTGGTGGAGCAGCAGAAACATAACCAACATATGACGAAATCAACGTATGACGGTACATTCATGCAGTGGGAGGATATAGTTCGTGAGCAGTTATATTAATCCCATTAATAAATGGCAAATTGAAGTACAGACTGGCTAAATAACTTGCCTGAGGTCACTTAAGCAGTCTGTGGCAGAGCCGAAAATAAATTGTTCAGTGTTTGTGAATCCTAATGTGTGATTCTCTTCATTTAGTCAGTTGTTCTGCCACCCAGTGACGCTCCTCACCCACCCTGCTAAGAAGGAGAATTGGGAAAAGGAAAGGAGACCCACGGGCTGGCACAGAAACAGATTTAATAAAGTAATAATACAACCAACTCCCTAATGTTAATACTGATACAAAGTTATACTTAGCCCCCCACGGTGGCTGCAAGCCGTGGGCTCCCAGCAGCGAGTGGAGCGCCAGAGCTCCAGCGAAACACTGCGGCTCACAGCAGACAGGAGAGCAGCCTTGGGACTGGAATGATGAGTGAGACGCTCCCGGGATGACACCACTGAGGACAAGAGATGATCGCCAGCAAAATTCCCAATTTATAGGGACCGTGACATTTATGACTTGGAATACTTCTGTTGGGCAGCTTGGGTCGGCGGCCGTGGCTGTCGCTTCTCCTGGCTCTAGCGCCTGGCTGACTCAAAACTGCTCAAGATTTTGATCGCTCTGAAGACCCGCTTACCGTGGCCAGCCATGGGAAAAACCAGTGTCTTATCTTTCTCATTGATTTGGGTCTTCTCAAAAATGCAGCTTTCCCGAGTAGAAAATCGATGGTATGAATCTATCCCAGTGAAACCAAGGCAGTGATCATGTTTCCTCTTGCTTTCTGTTCACAGCATTTTTTTGAACATAGCTATTTACTTCGTTTGCAGGGTCGACAGTTTCCTGAATAGCCTAGAGAGTCACTTGGGCTGCAAAGATGTTGGAAGAAGATATGGAGGTGGCCATCAAGGTGGTGGTAGTAGGAAATGGAGCTGTTGGAAAGTCCAGTATGATTCAGCGATATTGCAAGGGGATTTTTACCAAAGACTACAAGAAAACTATTGGTGTAGATTTCCTGGAAAGACAAATCCAGTATGTATTAAACAGATGCCATGCTATTGATTTTTACCTTTCCCTCTATTTCTTTGTTCTGTTGTAATCCTGAGATTTACAGAGGCCTGAAACAAGGCGTGCTGTCTCCAAAGCACAGTAAAGGGGAGTTGTTTTCTCTCTCGCACAACGGGCCACAATTATATCACTCTCTTTTCCGTGCAAGATTTAGAATTATAAATCAAAAGCAAGATAGAATTTGAAATTTCTGTCATACTAAGCTTTATGACACGTTTCTTTTGTTTTATATCACCTCTTGGTTTTGTTACTTTTTGTTAATTGTGGAGGAAGCGCTTATGATAGAATGATTACACAGATTTACTAACCAACATATATTAAAATTACTGTGGAAAAAATAATTAAATATGCTATAGATTTAATCTATGTAATATAAGCGGATAATACCCAATTACTTTTGATATAGCGGAAAATACTATGGTAATTACAAGTAAAAACTCTATACATTTCGCAAGCCAATTAAAAGGAGAAAAGCATAGAGGGTTTTTTTAAAATCTATATTATTTTTCCTCATGGAGAGAAATGTAGAGGACGAGGGGGAAAGGAAGAGGAAAGTATAATATGGATTGTCAGGAAAGCAAATAATGGAATTGAGGGACTGCTGCTGAAGCATGTCACAGAGGTGAACTATTATCAGTATTAAGTTACATTACATTTAAATGAAGCTAAATTTGAAATGAATTACTCTTCTATTGTAGACATAGAAATATTTTCACATCGGTTGTTTTGAATCGCTCGTGTTCACTGTATTGATTACAGAACCGTGTTTTTTATTTCAGAGTTAATGATGAAGATGTCAGGCTAATGTTATGGGACACTGCGGGTCAAGAAGAATTTGATGCAATAACTAAGGCCTACTATAGAGGTGAAAATACTGTTATTTGGCAGTTTGGGGGTTTGGTTTTTTTGGTCTGCGTATCTCAAAGGTATTTTCCTGTCTCTGTATTAAAATTTTTATTTATTTTGTGCATGTGCAAAGCATTTTTAGCTCATCTTTTCCAGTTCTTAAATGTTTTTCCCCTTCTTGTTAGCTCCTTGCCTTAATGGTCATTTTATGCAGAATGTTCAGTAGTGCCCTTTAAAAAGCGTAGAACAAAATGAGAAAAATAATCTGCACAGAAACTGTACAGAATATAGCTCTTCAGACAATCAAATACAAAATCAGTTTTTTTCTCTCTAGAAGTGTCTTCTTACTTCAGTAAGATATATATTTGTAAATGTTCCAAAAACTATGGCTGAGGCACTTAGAGATGAACTCAAGGGAAAAATAACCCGCTAGTCATTCTAGAAAGGTAGTTTACTAGACAACAGTTCTCTTGCTAATACAGACTGCCTTGAACACATTAACACAACAGAGTAATAAGGAAAACAATTATTTTATAAAAAACTATATTATTCAGTTGCGTAAAGGTAGGTTATCTGTTTAGCCAGTTGTGTGCTTAGACTCCCTTTGCACATAATTTAACAGTTGTGAAAATCTTCTCTTTCGTGTTGAAAACCGAAAAGGAATGAATCGCTTGGCAAAGATTTCATGATGCAGTTCTTGTCCAACTATTTACCTGACCGCGGGGAAAAATAAATCACTATGGTATAAAGTCTTAGAAAAATCATCTCACTTAGAGATAAACTAAGAGTTATGTCATCTTGTTTTAGGGTGGTATGGACCTTTTGATATTTCAGGATCGTTTCTGGCAACTTTGGGGGTGTTTTTTTGTTGTATTTCTGGCTGTCACTCACAATTGATGTTTACAATTTTTTGTTTCAGAGTAAAATATTTCTTTTCCTGTTTCTTTTAACCCTCATGTGGAAATAGATAATTTAGTTATTTTTCCAGCTGCAAGTTGAGCATATGAATTTTAGAAGGTACTACTTCACTCTCTTGGAACTTCCTTTTTATTCTCCTAGCCTTCAGTTCTCTTGTGTGCTTCGCTCTTCTGAATTGTTCCAAGTCGAAATCTTTTTCTCCCAAGTACTGGGACTGATAACGCGAAAATACAGTGTGTTCAGAAGAACTTCAAAGTACACTTACGGGTCTCACTTACCATGTATCTTGAGTATCTTGAAATCTCTCTCGTGACTCATGCCCAGCATTGTGCAGTTTAGATCTCTGCCTTCGAGATATTTTTACCGAAGAGTCTGCTGTGAAACAGGACGTTGTCATCCTGCGGATCTGCATCATAGACGGCGTGATGGATGTATTAACAGTTCAAGCTATTAGATACAGGGACAGTTTTGCACTAAACTTTGACTCGGGTAGGACAAGGGAAATTCTAAGAGCCTGGAATGCAGTTTTGGTTTAGCATCAGGTCTGCAAGCACAATATTACAGAAGCAAAAGGTCAAGCTTACTTTGGAAATGCAAGACTTTCATTGCCAATTGTTGCTGATGGGAGGACGCCTCCAAGGTGGACAAGATAGAAGCTGTTACTGCAAGTTCCACTTCTCCCACAGGTCACTGTAATGACACTAAGGTTCAAGTTCTTTCTGGGAACCTCGTGTATTGACAGTTCAGGGATCAGCTGCTCATCCATAGTCACTCAGTGAATGCTTCAGAGCCTGTTTCTCAGCCCTTTTTGTCCAGGGACCGATTTTTTTCAGCTGTACGAGACACGAAATTGAAGCTGACAGTGTATATGTCATGGTTTTTCTATGTGCAGGCAAATACGTCCAGCCAGTGTAGCTGCGTGTCCATCATCTTACAACGCAAGGAGTCCAACAGCCTAAACTCAAAAAGTTGAAGGAAGCTCTGTGTGTGTTTAATAATTTCTTTTTTTATATCGTATTGTGCATCTTCCCAGTTTCTACCTGATGGAAGCCATGCATTTTCTGATTGGCTGTGTATTTCATTTATATGCCAAGCACATACACAAGTGACTGTCATTAGCAGCACCATGTGTTCTGCCTATGGTACAGATGTTTTTTAAGGCAGTATTTGATCGCTTCTTCATGAGTGCATCCTCTTCATCTGCCACCACTGGTATCTCAAGCAGACCTTTGTTAGGTTTTTGATGGCAAATGGACATCTTACTCATTATTCAGTTGCTGGTCAGTCAAATTCCCAGGCTCTTCATTTTGTTCTTTATATTTCTCAGGCCTTCATAGCATTGCTTCAACTTGCACTTGTCATCCACTTTTCAGCTGTCGTAACTGATAATGGTGCAAGACTGTTGTGGACCAGTATGGAGCAAGGCAGCCCTCCTTTGGGAACTGTTGGTGAGATTTGAAACCCTGCTAAGCTTGTTAAAGCTTGTTAGAACATCAACAGTAAACAAGAACTTCTGGATGATTATACCATTTGACCTTGCATTTTGTCTTGGTTTAAGGCTGAAGGAGCCACCATCAGTTTTATAGGGAAGAAGATGTGTTTTCTGTCAGAGCCTGAAAAAGCTGAGGCAAGGAACATGAGCGTGAAACAAGTAGATGCTAAGTATAAAGCCCTGTGTGAGTCCACTCGTGGCAAGGAATTTCTTTACGTATTTTCTGTCACACAGGCTTTGAGTCATTATGAAAAGAGAAAATAAGGTTGCAGAGTCTATGAGGATGGGATAGTCTGCTGAGGGTCTTGGAGACCTACTCTGCTGACAAGGTCATTCTCTACTCGAATCAAGTCTTGATGCTAGCACTACTTTCAAGATTTTTTCTGAATTGGCCTGGGTATGGATGTCGTATCAGTGATACCGCAGCCAGCTGGAACCTTTTTAAAATAAAGATATAGGGGTTATCAAAGCAGTAACTGCATGCAGAACATCCAGTGTCCCTTCCTTCAGTACTTTAGAGTAGCTTCATGAAACAGCTTCTTACAGAAGAAGTTTGTTTTAAAATATGCATCGAGAACGTCCTGGTTTTCGCTCTTATGCTCCCGTCTGACACTTTCCTGTGCCTTTGCTGCCTGTGGCTGTTTTACACAACCTGTTGTATGACAGAGGTGATGTGTGATTTCATTTGGAGTGGATGAGTGAGGTAAGTGTTATTGACTCTCTTGAATACTGTCAGTCACTGCATACAGAAAGGTGTTCCAGTGCCTAAATCCTGAATTTTGTCTTTCCTTTTCTTTTTTTTTTTTTCCTCTCCTTAGGGCTCCTGCATGGATGGTATAATTTCTTAAGACTTGTTTATATTCTCAATAAGCATATTGAGTATTTAGCAACGTTCTTAGAAGTTGAAAAGAATTTACATACTGAGATCTCTGCCCTGTGGCATCTTCTGGTGAACTCTATTCCCATTCTGCACTGTACTGAAGCCTACTTTCAGGAAGATCACATTTGATATCGTTTTGAATTGAGCATGAGAAGAATACTCCTTTTGTTCTTCTCTTCTTGAATAAGCATTTTGCAGGGTTGTTGGATTAGGAAATTCTGGTATTTTTTACAACCTAGTGATCAAAGCCTTCAGCAGCCATTTGGAAATACGCAATTGCATACAGAACAGATGTATAGAATTTGCCATTGTTGATAGACAAGTGTATCTCTTGATGAAGAAAGACGCTTTTGTTATTTCTTAACTTTCTGGTGAGAACCTTTCAATGTCAGAATCATGAAGGTCCTTAGAAGTAGATTCAGTTTGATTCTTAATTAGAATCTGTCATGCAATTCTCTTTAAAAAGCTGAGTTATTTTTACTGTCCCCATCTACTCTATTCTGCATGTTTTATCCATAAATTGAATGAAGAGGTCTGATGGTGTAAGTTGCCCACTTTTTACCTGTCACACACTATAGGGACTTTTCCCTCAAAACTTACTATTACCAAGCTACGTCCATTCGGAAGGAATGGGTGGAAGGAGAGAGATGGAGTAAAAGCGCCTTAGAGTGAAAACTTCACAATGGATTTCCTAGTCTTAAAACTGAACAAAATTATGTTTATAGATGGCGAGAGTCTTTTAGTAACTATTGCTATCTCCAGTACAGCAAAGAACTTTAGAGGCTTTATTAAGCTAAACTGCAAGAGAGTAGGTCAAATTCAGCATTGACAAATGCGAAGTAACCTACTCAGGAAAGAATAATTAATTTTACACCCATGTCACAGGATTCTAAGTGGAATTGTATCAGAACAATTGCATACATTAGAGTATGGTGTGGACATTGTGGAAAGCAAACAGAATTTTAAAACACAAGTAATAAGGAACACTATAGAAGGCTACATTGCTATTGTTTTATTGGTAGAGCTTGACTTGAAATTCTGGAGGCAGTTCTTATTATTCTGCATAAAACCATACCGGAAGGGTCTTAATGGCATGTGTAGAAATGTTAAAGAGGACAGGAAAACTAGCTTAACAACAGACTGAACTTGGCTTTGAAAAGATAAATAAAGTGAAACCTCATAGAAGAACTTGAGTGCTTTGTGTCAAAGAAGTGGAAAGGCAAGCAGAGTACAGGAATGGGGGATACTTGGTGAAATGATGGTGTCGTGGGTTAGGGCTGGGCCGGCC